TTTCTCAGGTGCGTTTGGTTTAAACTTTGAATTGGACTGAGTGAGGACGCTCTGCTGAATTTCAGAATATTTAGGAGAGAAGGTGCGAAGATGGGAGAAATAGGGTGGAACGGGCTGTTGGTGCTAGTGTGCGCCTCTCTGATAAGCCTGGCTGCTGTCACGCACGGAAAGACGGTGAAATATCAGACATTTGAGGAAGACGCACCGGGGACGGTGATTGGAAACTTAGCCAAGGACACTTCCTCCTCTGCCTCTTCTTCCAGGAACAGTTTCAGGATGATGAAACAGTTCAACTCGTCTTTCATCCGTCTGAGAGAGAGCGACGGGCAGCTGACCATTGGAGAGAGGATAGACAGAGAACGGATCTGCAAACACACCCTGCACTGCCTCATCGCTTTCGACGTGGTCAGCTTCTCCAAAGAGCAGTTCAAGCTCATTCACGTCGAGGTGGAGGTCAAGGACATCAACGACAACTCTCCCGAGTTTCCCCGGAAAGAGTCGAGTCTGGAGATCTCCGAGAACACAGCGGTGGGCACCCGGATCCCCCTGGACTTTGCCGTGGATGAGGATGTTGGGACAAATTACATCCAAAGCTACCAGATCTCTGTTAACAGCCACTTTTCGATCGACGTGCTCAGCAGGGCCGACGGGGTTAAATATGCGGAGCTGGTGCTCATGAAGGAGCTGGACCGGGAGACGCAGGCTTCTTACGCGCTGGAGCTGGTCGCCATGGACGGCGGCAACCCGTCCCGCAGCGGAACGACGCGCATAAACATCAAGGTGAAAGACTACAACGACAACAGCCCGGTGTTCGACAGGAGCAGCTTCTCCGTGGACCTGCCCGAGGACGCGCCTGTGGGCACCCTCTTGCTGGACTTGAACGCCGAGGACCCGGACGAAGGGCTGAATGGTGAGGTGGTGTACGGGTTCGGTCACCAGGTGCCCCCGGAAATACGACAACTCTTCAGAGTGGACAGAAAAAGCGGGCGGCTCACTCTGGAGAGCCCGGTTGACTTTGAAAGTAAGACCACGTACGAGTTTGACGTCCAGGCCACTGACCTGGGTCCGAACCCGAGCCCGGCCATCTGTAAAATTGTCGTGCAGGTGCAGGACGTTAACGACAACGCGCCGGAGATCTCAATCACCCCGATGACGTCCATCACGGCGGGAATAGCGTACATAACTGAGGCGGCAGCCAGAGAGAGTTTCGTGGCTCTGGTCAGCACCTCGGACAGAGACTCGGGCGCTAACGGGCAGGTGCACTGCACGCTGTACGGACACGATCACTTCCGACTGCAGCAGGCGTACGAGGACAGCTTCATGATTGTGAGCACCAGCCCACTGGACCGTGAGAAAATCCCCGAGTATAACCTCACAGTGGTGGCGGAGGATTTGGGCTCCCCTCCCTTCAGGACCATCACTCAGTACACCATCAGACTGACGGATGAGAACGACAACGCGCCGGTGTTCAGCAAGCCTGTGTACGAAGTGTCGGTCGTGGAGAACAACGCGCCCGGCGCGTACATCACCACAGTAGTGGCGCGGGACGTCGACATGGGGTCAAACGGGAAGGTCACTTATAAACTGGCGGACACTTATTTCATGGGCTCCCCCATTTCCACCTTTGTGTCTCTAGACCCTGCCAGCGGTTCGCTTTACGCGCTCCGGAGCTTCAACTATGAAGTTATGAAGCAGCTGGAGCTCCGAATCACGGCCAGCGACGCCGGCTCCCCGCCGCTGTCCGGCAGCGCGAGCGTGTACGTTAGGATAGTGGACCAGAACGATAACGCGCCGTATATCACTCAGCCGGCGCTCAACAACGGCTCCGCTGAAGTCCTCCTGCCCCGGGACTCACCGAGCGGCTACGTCATCACCCGCGTGGAGGCTCGGGACGCAGACGAGGGCGTGAACGCGGAGCTGTCCTACGGACTGGCCACCGGCGAGCCCTCTGTGTTCTCCGTTAACAAAGCCACAGGGGAGATCTACCTGAACCAGGTGCTGAGCCAAAACGTGGACGAAACCCTGAGCGTGACCGTCACGGTGAGTGACAACGGGAGGCCCGCACTCACCTCCACAGCCACGCTCCACTTCCTCATCATCGCGGGCTCCCCGCCGAGCGACAGAACCGTGTACCAGCCAGGCGGCGGGGAGGAGGTGCACGCGCAGTGGGACCTGTCGGTGGTGATTATCGTTGTTCTCGCGGGGAGCTGCACTCTCCTGCTGCTCGCCATCATCCTCATCGCCACCACCTGCAACCGGCGTAAGCGGGACAAGAGCGGAGATGACAGCGACTCGTACGGGGAGAAGGGCGCTCTGGAGCGGGGTAGGAGCCACGTGGTGGACAACCCGCTCCTGCCTCTCCACGGAGCCGGGGGAGAGGCGGGTTTTGACGGACAGTCGTACAGTAGCCAGCCAGGGGCGTTCACCTCGGCTCACCCTGGGGGCAGCGACATGTGCTCGGCCTCGGAGGACGGCAGTGAAGTGCCCTGCGTGTATGACTCAGACAACAACAGCAAGCTCCGGGGGAATAAACACGAGGTGAGATGCACCTTTGGGACAAGCGTGCTGGGGGAGGGTGGGGAGGAGGAGGTTGCACACAACAAGCAGGCACTAACCTCTGTTTTTCTATCCCCCCCTCTCCTGCAGGGCTACTCTACTCTACCCGGGTATGGGAATGGCAAAGAGGCGGTGAGGCCCATCACCATCTGGAAGGGCAACTCTTACACCACCATCTCTGCCAGGGACCCAGCCTTCAGTGGCAAAGACAGTGGCAAAGGGGACAGTGACTTCAATGACAGTGACAGTGATGTGAGTGGAGACACTGGCCTGAAGAAAGAAGGGGCAGCAGTTCCTCCCATGGGTGGCCAAAATGGTAAGAGCAACAAAATTAACTCAAGCTCAAATTATCAGCAAATGAGATGTGAGCTAGGTGGTGTACACCTAATCTAACCCCACCTTCTTACGCTCCTCTCTTCCAGCTCTGTGGGCTTGCACCAATGAGTGTAAAGTCCTGGGTCACTCAGATCGCTGCTGGAGCCCCTCAGCAGTGAGAGCCAACGCAGCCCCATCTCCGGCCCCGACCCTCTCTTCCTTTAGCAGTCTCTCCAAAACGGCCTCTCTGCCCCGGGATCCTCACCGCAGGGACAACTACTACCAGGCCCACATCCCCAAAACTGTGGGTCTGCAGAGCGTGTACGAGAAGGTGCTGCATAGGGAGTACGACTATGTTCTGGTCACTCCACCCAGACCTGTGAGGGTGCAAGAGATCAGCGATATAAGCATCCCCGTTTACACCCCGACCCCAACACACTGTCCCAACAATGATGACTAAAATAGACACACACAGCCCTAAGCTCACTTGCAAGGAACTGTATAGTGTGTTCAGACTTTTAATTTATGATTAACTGACAATGAGAACAATGTAACTATTTGCTGTGGAGAGTGCGCACACGTTGATGTCCCAAAATTTCATTTGTTTTAATGTAAAAGCCACCTTTGAAGTCCATCCAATCACTTTGTGACAACTTGCTGGACTGGATGTGTATAATATGCAAGATTTGTACATTGAGAGATTTTTATTTTTATAATGAAAGTATAATGAAGCAAAAGATGTGTACATATGAATTGTAATTATCAATCTTTATGCATGCTTGCTATTTAAAACGAAATGCCCCCAATATCTGGTTTCATGGAGGGCTGGTGACCAATAATGTATCAAGTTGACAACCACATAAGGAAACGGACTTGAATGCAATAATTAAATAACTGTAAAGTCTTTTTTATCGTCACAATACGCTGAAAGGAAATAAACTTTAAATTGTTCTGAAAAGTGTGAGTTGATTGGTAATGAGGGCAAGCAGGATCATTGTTTTTTGGTGGGGGGAAGCGTTGGGTTTTGTTTTTTTGCAGGAGCATCAGTCTTGTAAAAACCAACAGGTGTCGCTGTTATTGCGGTAGTGAGCCTCTGTCCTTGCAGCCCGCTGAAGAAGGTCAGTTAAGTTTTTCCCCCCTCTGTGAATACGATTTTCGCTGGTGAGATGCCAGAACAGACGCCAAGGTTTTTTGTTTTTTCTTTTTGAGCAAATCACTCTCATGCATATCGAGCAAAGACCTCCATCGTTAGTCTGTGCACTCTTTCAGGCACTTAATAACTACATTTATTTTCACGGGACCTGCATGCTGATAGCACACATGAATTAAAGATATGTTCAGGTTTCCTTTATATAAATCATTAAAACCTGGAGAGCGCGCTTATGTGTGAGGCTCATACTGACAAGGGCTACGCGTAAAAGCGCGTCTGCTGTTTGTCTTCTGAGCTTCCATACATCAGAGGAGCCTAAGAATAAGTTTGACGGTGCACACAGGAATCCAAGAGCACCTGTGCTTTTTCCTTTCTTTTCTTTTTTTGTCAAAGTACATGAAGTCCTTGTGGGGGAAAGCTTTCCTGTTATCCTGTCACGATGTTTTTTGTCGATCTGCCAAATGAGCACCGTGCGCCCCTTACGTAATCCCATCATTATCATTCATGGATTCGGGCTTTTTTTTTCTTTTTCCTTTTTTTTCTTTTTTTAATAACAGCAACCACAGCCCTGGACGCAGACAGGGGAAAATGCGGTGGGAATCCGTCCAACAAGTTGCTGCCTTTGCACAGTGCCATGTAAACACACCGTCTCCAGGGTGGGAAAGAAAAAAAATCCATGCGACATTCCGCCAGAGTCACCTTTGACCCCGAAACAGTCTGTAGAGCTTTGAAAAGCAGCGAGAGGGAGGAGGGTGATACGGGGAGACAACCCTATGCTTCCCTCGTCCTGCCGAATAGATTTCACGGTCTGAGGTTGTCACAAAGTCATATCAAACTCATGCAAATTGCATGAGCAGCCTATACGAACTTCAAAGAGGGGGGGGGGGATCATTAATTTTTTTTTTTTTTTGACAGAAGGTATAAAACAACTGGCTCATAAGAGGTTACTGCATGTGATGGTCATCAGCTGGAAGTTTTAGTTTTATCTGTAAAGTCAGGAAACCTTCAGCACGACAGCAACAGAAAAGAGTGCCTGCGTGACTGAGGAGTGTCTATCCTCCCCCTCCCCTGAGAGAGAGAGGAGAGAGAGAGAGAGAGTGGACTGGGGTCTCCTCAGGTGTTTGGCTTCAGTCATGGCTGAGAACTCAGAGAAAGTACCGATTGCCTTGGCGGGACCAGAGGACCTGCATCAGTTCATGCCTCCGGTGAGTTGTACAGTCCAGTCCGCCACTCTGCTCCATGATGCAGGCTGTCTTACGTGTGTTTGTGTGTGTACGGGTTCTTACTATGTTGGTGGGGACCAAAATCTGAAATCTATTATACTGGTGGGGACCAACAGCTGTGGTGGGGATGAAAATCCAGGTTTACATGGGGTTGAAGGCATTTTTCACACTCAAAATGTGGTTTAAGTGTCAGGGTTACGATTAGGTTATGTTTAGGTTTAGGGTAAGGGTTAGGGTTAGGCATTCATTTTTAATGGTTAGGATTAGGGCAAGCAACTAGGGAAAGCATTATGTCAATGGGATGTCCCCACAAACATAGCAAATCAGACATGTGTGTGTGTGTTCAAGACCAAAAGCTGGATAGATAACTTTGAATCCCATAACTGCTGCATAGCCGTAACGCTGTGTTATCAAGAGTTAGCTGTGCTGTTGTACCATGCTCTCATTTTTAGAGGGT